ACTTGTCAGACATGGTGGCCTTTTCTTGTCATTTGGTTGATGTTTTCTTTGAGAAGGCTAGAAGCGGCGAGCACTACAACGCTGTCCTTGTAAAGTCTATATTTCTTTCTTCAATTATTTGTACCCATTTAACAGTCTAGAAACACGTTCGGCTAACGAAGCCTTGGTAGAAGTTTTCCAACAAGAAGTATGCATACTTCATTCACATTGATTAACTAAATTATCTAACTATTGCAGTGTGGCGGTGAATTGTATCCCCAAATTTTGAAAGTAAATATTTTTGAATAGCAGTTGTAGTAAGACGCTAAGTAAAAAGCAGCCAAACTTTCCTTTCAATCTTTTACTTCTCTTACAAAGTGACAGTTCTTAAAACTGATCTTCTGCTCTCCTCGGCATTGCTCAAAAAATCCACGGTTTCCTTCAATAGCAGGCACGTTGTTGTTACAAGAGCTAAAGACCTAGCGCCCTATTTCAAAATGATATTTTGAGGCCGAGGTGCGTTTTGCTCGCGACCCCACGTAAACAACGCGTGGGCCAGTTCCACACGTGACATCACGGTGAGTGGTCTTTCTGTTCAATATGGTGTCTGTTTAAAAGTTTGATCTCCATTAATGCTTTAGCCTTTTTCCACTGAATAACTAAAGTATTCTAATGTAAAATACGTCCAGGCTCTGAGGAAGGCGATGTCGCCGAAACGTCAGCCATCGACCAACAACATCAACAACAACGGCTACGACTAGGAAGACCTGTGCCAACCTCGCATCAGCTTAAGGAGATCAGTTTATAAGGTCATATAAATAATTATATCAACTATCTATGCCGAGGTTTATAGAAAGTTGGTCTTTCGAGCTCATTAAACATCGTTTGGAGGTGATTGAATGCATATCTGGCCTTTACAATGACTCGCGGTGGGCTACCGATGTATGGAGGCAGTGCTGCTCTCCTCCCAGACAACTCTGGAACCAATTTGCCGACCCCGGATAGATAGAGGGTTTGGTAAGCCTTGGGCGTTGGGATCGATCCCATATGTATTGCAGGGCGTCTCCGACCATTGCGCCACGCGCACTCTTGCGAGGTTATCAACAAAATTTACTTTGTACAATAAGGGATAACGTTTTGGCAGTTTCGCCTTGTTCAGAACACTAAAGAATCTAATCGCCATGTAGTCTATTCAACAAAGTACAGAAGAAACTGCAGTTATAAATAGATTCTCTTATACACTTATAGTTTTATTTCCTTTTTAGTCCATGAGTTATTATTAAAGACCAGCTACACAGAATCATATGATGTCATGGTCATTTTGTTTAAAACGATGAGTGTTTAAAGAAGTTTTTTTCTTCACGAATAGAAAGTCACGTGCCAAGTTTTTTTTCCCAAGATTATGAGTGTTTTCCAGAGATTGAGTGTCAGTTTGATTGTGCTGTTTTGTGCCATTTGTGCCATTTTGTGCCAAAATTGTGCTAAATAAATCTTGTCGTTAACCACCTCATATCTGCTTATCAAAAAAAAATAACAGTGATAGTGACAGTTGTCCAGGAATCATAGTGAACTTGGAGTTGCTCAGAGATCGGTTCATACGATTCAATCTGTGAGGCTTGACCATTTTTGAAATTTGACGGCTTGTGGTTCAATAAGACTTTTTCTCTGTAAGCATTTGCTGACGAGTGATGTAATTACAGATGGTTCGCGCACGGAAGTGCCATGACGGGCTGCCAGCTGACCATACAGCCATTAGAGAACCACCACTAACACCTGCCGAGGTCAGCCACGGTTTCGACATACCATCAGCTGTTGTACTGTGCCACTCTGCTGACATTTATGCTAAGATTCACGGAATGAAGGACAGTCGGTCCGGTTCCGCTAGTTTTTTTCTGATAAACAGTGAGAGATAGACGCTTTTTGTGATGAAAGGGGCATAAAAGAGTAAGTAAGACCGACGTTTTCGATTAACATCTTTCAATAACCAAAGGAAAAGAGATCCGCCAAGGCGACAGCATGTCACTGATGTTCTACAATTTACGGTGTAAGATTCGCACCCGTCACCATATTCACGTTGAACCACTGTCATGAACAACAATTGCAAACTAAAGAAACGAATGAAAAATTTGCCGAAATCCACTAAACTGGTGAAGACAAGTCGCCAGTCCATGTATCCAAGTAGGTGATTAAGTGGAGTAGATCTATGTCAACGTGATCTTTATCTATAGCTCTAAACTCATCTTTTTAGTTCTTACGAGGCGATTTTAATGTTGATCAGTTTTAGAATTTTGGCATAGAATACTGGAGATTAGGAACCATGATACGATAGTATTCCAAAGTATACATACGCCTCATTGACCAGATTTTCATTTCGTATTCTTGTTTAGGAGGAACCTTGAGAAATGCGAAGAATTCGGTATTCCCACTAAGTAGATATCCATCATTGTGTTAACACATTCATAATGACTATAACTTTCTGCTGAATAACTGGTCTATTTGATCATATACGACCATTTCTCCATCAGTCCCGTAGTTCCCTTGCTTCGGCCAGAAATTGATTCAGCATGTAGTGAGATGGGTTGCTAATGACTGTGCGAGCAGGTGGTACGAAAATGCAAATCGACCGTAAATGAGCTGGTACGGTATCTCGTCGCACAAAAGATACATCATAACTGACAGACTGTCAAGAATGGAGATTACACTATTTTTGAGAATGGTAACCAGCTTTTAGAGTTGCAGCAACTATATGATGCTAGGATTCTATTAATCACATTAAGGTTTACTGGAATCTGAGATTTTTCCAACTATGCAAGTGCTCGATTTTTGCTCCGGTAGCATAGTGTTGTGGCATTCTAGAAGCAACGGATTCTTCGAGGGCAATTTTAGTGGTGACATGGTTATTAAAGGTTTTCCTTTGAAAATAGTTGTGGATTTGCCAAAAGTGAATGAAGAGAAGTCCGATGAGTAGAACAGGTAAGATGGAGCTCCGCATCACAATTCATACTACCTCTGTAACATTAGTAGTGCGTTATCTGGCCCAGTCATTCAGAAGAACTGGAACTTTTCTGTTGACCAAGGTTGCGACACTTCTTTGCTGAAATCGTGTGCTGTGATTCAGAACGTTGCAGTTTAATTCGTCTAATGATCATGAAAGAGTCACTACAAGAGCTTCCCTGAGCAAATTTGACTTAAGAAATGGTTAAGACTTCCATCTCTTTCTAACTCTTATGCTGAACATTGTTAGGTTCTGTGCTGACCGTCATTTTTGATGCGAAAAAAAAGACGAGCAGAACTGACAGCAATCCATTCAAGCCATTTAGAGTCCATTTATCCAGTTTTTTCGCCTTTTTAATGTACTTCAAATGAAATATAATTGTTGAATGGCTAACGATGAGTTCCGTTACCCTCAAATGGCACTTATCCAGTTAGCACCGATTGCCGAATTCAGATTGTCGTCGCCAGCTGCTGATGTGAATATTCGCGATCTTCTTTAGGAAGACTCGCATCTACGATAATGAAGCTTATGAATACGTAGAACAACCATAAACTCTGAAGATTTTGTGAGATTAATACCTTGTGGATTCTCTCTTCTCCAGCAGCTTTGACTTCGGTGAGGGTGCTTTCAAACTCACAGCGAATGTTCGAAATTTTTAGCTACATCTGTCGTGTCTCACTTCTTTATGTATTTTTTGTTACAAATATTGCTAGGGCGGCTTTTTTTCCTGTGGCTTGCTGCGTCGAAATGTTAAACGACTTGTAATTGTTTTTATTCGGTGTTTAGAAAGAGAAATTTGAAAGGTGGAACTTGATGAAAGGATAAAGGACAAAGCTTTCGGAGCTGATCAATCTCTGAGGGATGCACCATGTATTCGACTTCATTAAGTATCATTGGAGATGAATGAGTACATATATGGCCTTTACAGTGACTCGCAGTAGCCTTCCTATTATGTATCAAGCCAGTGCTGCTATCTTCCCAGACAAGTCTGGTAGCAATTTATCGACCCCGGAGGGATGGAAGGCTTGGTGAGCCATGGGCGCGGGGATCGATTCCACGTGTGTATCGCAGTGGCGCCTCCTACCACTGCGCCACACGCGCTCATCTGAAAGGTGTCACTTATAAGAAAGAAATGGCGCAGTGTTTTATGTGAGAAACAAAGATCTAGAAAACTGTTTTATGGTCAAGGATAACAACAATATTCGAAAAATTTCCCAGCAAAACGATACGTTCCAAATAATGGAAAGACTGTACATCGTGACTAGAAGGTCAGCTCAGCTTTGTTCGGAGTGCCATTGTGCAGTGCTGGTCGAGATTGGAAGGACGATGGGTTGAAGCGAAACAACGGTCTTAGACACACGAAAAAATCAAAACGAACAACCTATACACGTGACTAGAAGTGAACTCGGAAAAAGAACACAAATACATGAAGTGTTCGTAGGGTACGTGGAAATGCATAACTGCGGCATTTGGTACTGTACACGAAAATGAGCCACCGTCTCGTAGGAATGAGACGAGGCGCAATTAAAGCTAAACGAAGCGAAAAGGATTTGACTTAACGTCATTCATAGGACTGGAAAGACTCTGTGGTATTTGAGACTACATAGTGGCACTGACTAATGAGGATAAGCGAAAAAGATTTCTTTATTGTTCTCAGTCATCTTCTAGGGAAAATTCCCGCTTAGCATAGATATAACATTTGCGTTTATAGTTACTTAAAATACAGAAATCCATGGAACAAAAGAAAAGTTCCGTGTCCTTGTACTCTATCGTAGAATGTTGTTAGCAAAAAACTGGATTTTTGATGCTGACCGCAAATATACTGAGAAGGGCGATTTAAGATTGAGATCTTACTATGAAAATTATACATTATTGTTTTCGATACAGGTGTTATTGGGTGGAGACAGTGGGTGAACATGAAAGTGGAATCCACTAAAGTTGAAATTTAAGTAAGAATAGCGCCTGTAAATTTAACAACTCATGACGGCTACCTCATTTAATACCATCTTTTCCAATTTCTAGATCTTCAGTGTTTCTCGAGTTTGAGAGGACTAGGAATTAAACTGGTGAAGAGTGTACCGAATCTCATAGCAGGTGCAGTCGGTGTTTCCTGACACAAGTGCGTCTTCAATTCTTTGCGAGTGCTGAACATCGTCATACACATGCTACATCGTAACGTCTCCATCTGTTCTCTTGGTCGATGCCAACGACGGTGAGAAGCCAGATTTGCCGGACAAGAAAAGATCTGGAAAAGAAAGTACGTTGAAATTACCTGAATCATTCGCAAGGGACTAGGACTGGCTTTATTGCACAATTGCAAAATTGTATGCAAAATTATAGCGTCCACTGGTTCAAACAGCAGTCATATCCTCAAACATTTGTATCAGATAGGCCCATATATAGAAAGACGTTAAAAAACAAAATACGGCTGCTTCAAGTGCACAGCTGCATTTTAACGGAAAATTCTATAAGAAGCCGGATGAGTTTGGTGCTGACGTAAAATAACTTCCTAAAATTCGGCATGATCAAAAGCGCAGGTGTGGCGGTCCTGAGTAGATTAGTATGATTGTCAAGAGGCCGCCAACAATCTAAGAAGGTAAACAAGCAGCTGGTAAGGAAAAGACACCGCCACACTGCCAACAGGTGGCACTACACTCTACAAATAGTCTGAGATCCCTGACGGCCTTCCGCCGGAACCCTGCTGTCACGAACTGCATAGAACGAACCTTATCGCATTCTGGACAACGGTACTCCTCATGAGCGATTCGAGGACAGCGATGTTGTGCCAGTTTGAAAACATCATCGTAACGCACCTCAAACAATAAGTTGTATACATATGAATCAGCCAACTGGACTTTAATTCTTCGCATTCTTGTTGAGCAAACGTGAGGTGTTACTTTTATTATTTATTTACGAATAAGCTGACGTTTCGGCGGATTTCGCCTTCCTCAGAGCCGCTTTCTATGAGGCCTCCGCTGAGTATGTTGCGTGAAGACCAACCGCACAGAATTCACATGGAAGCGTAAAGACACATTACATACAGTTTTGCGTTCATCATCACACCATGCGAGCGAGTCATTCGTTTCTCCTTTCTGCCCGTCGTGTTTTTAACTCATAGGTGATATCAGCAATCACCCGTCAACGGGATTGATCTGGGAGCACAAATCGGCATTGGACTCAATTAAGCTGAAGCTGTGGTATGAATCACAATGTCGTTACTTGTCATTTACTGCCTCTTTTTTTCATAGCACGGTATGATGTGAATTACAACTAACTAACGGAAAAGGCAAAACGTTGAATCCTCACGGTGTGGTGCTGAACGCGTTAGCCACCGAAAAGAGGTAATAGCGTGTTCGATCCCCGTCGCAAACACCTGCGGTCTGGAGTTTTGCAAATATCTAGGCATCATTGTAGTTATAATTCACGTGATACTCTGCCATGAAAGAGAATAGGCAATAAATAAAAAGTGATTGCATTAACAAATTATAATTGTTTTTGTGCGATTATCACTTGTCTAGTGGTAGTTCCTAGGCTACTGTGGAATAAGCAAATAGTTATAATGGTCTACGATATACCTTGCACAAGCAACACACAGAATCGCCAATAACGTTTTCAATAGCCTTTATCTTTTTCCTGCTCTCCTCCGATACTTCAACATATGCGGCGGTCTCGTCTAACAAATTCGCATCCTTCTGAAGTTCTTCCGCAGATGGAACAGATGATTCGTCCTAAAATACTCAGTTGATATTACTGTTTTAGAATCAAAAAGCTTATTTAAATGCATCGACTAAGGCTATTCATTTACTTCTTCTTGGCTATACTTTTCTTCGTGATAGTAACACTGCGACGCTTGGTACACAAAGACATCAATTGATTCAAATAATTTCCATAGAAAGCGTTTTATTTGTAAAGTTGTTGAGGGTACGAATCCGAATCCAAACTAGCAATGATGTTCCACCGTTGGCAGATCTAGTAAAAAAAGGATTACGATAGCCACTGTTTTACCGCTAAAAGCATCGCGCATTGAACACAGTGCGGACAGTTCGAAATGCTCTGAAATAAAGACGTCTTTGGACCTTCGTCATCAGCTGCATAATCTGAACAATTAGCAAAGAACGTTGCGAGACCCGTCTATTTTCACTGTGATGTAGCCGAGAAATCTAAGTACAGTTCTCGCTTGCAGCGGTATCTACGGAGTACTTTGCCTGTAGAATTTGAAGAGTAGTTGTGGAAAAAAATTTTGAAAGATGAATCAAAAATAAAGAACATTTAAAAATATAGGTGGTTTTTCACCAATCATAGAGGCTACGATACAAAGTACTAAACCAGTGCTAGGGACTCTACCAACATCATACTAATATTGCAAAAAGGAATCTTCCACTTCAAAGGAAAAAGTCGTAGAAAACATGTTTAGAACGGTTCTTTCGTCATAAATGTGCGAAGAGGTGCTGAAATGCATTCCCAGAAGCATACGACAAATTCACTGTTGTCTTGATGATCGAACACGAGGTTGTTACTCTATTCTTTATTTCTAAACGAGCCAACGTTTCGGCGAATTTTACCTTTATCAGAATCTGGAAGAGCAAAGTAAGGAGCGATAGTATTTCAAATGAGCCATTGGTCTTAACTGTGGCTGATTCTGCCAAAGTATTTAGATCTTTATATTTTGTTCTGAAATTTTTAAAATTCCAGCGGATTTAAAGTGAAAATATCATTCTGGGAAATTCTCGTGTAATAATGTCAAGATGTTCAATATTGTCGCCTTTCGCGTTTGCAACCTAATCGCGAGGTGGCAAATAGCGCTTAAACCTACAAAGTGCCTCTGATAAGGAACCTTAGCACGGGCTATTTCAAAGCTACAGGAATGAAAAGAATGTAAATTACCAGTCAAAGGCAATCGTGCTGGAGTCTGACCACTTTTTATGGGCAATTCATGTGTTCAAATGGAGATTCAAGTAAATGTATACCCTCTCAACGATAACGATAATAATAATTTGCATATTTATTTATGTGATCTTATAAACTGATCTTGTTAAGCTGAGGCGAGGTTGGTACAGGTCTTTTCGGCGACTTCGCCGAATAATTTGCATAGCTTAAGTTCTCACTTCTTGGACCTAACCGAATACCCATCGACTGTTCTCAAAAGACCAGTACGCTTGTGAATCATTACTTTTTAGAATAGAAGAAACGTAGTTCTGTAGTGTGGCTTTAGTATTAATCACTGGTACGCCAACATACATTATGTTGCTAAGGTAAAAGAGCATTCTGGAAACTTCGGAACTCAGCATAGCAAATAAAAAATGCTACGAGATGATGTTGTTGGTACAGTATACATTTGTGCACATTTGTTACACATTAGTCTCTCTCGCGTGCCAGAGTAACTCAATGAGTTCTACTTGTTCTAGGGATTCGCTAAACATCATATTTTTCATCGAGATGAAGAATTCTGAATATTGGGTCAGAGAATTTCCTGCTGTGCACTTGACATCCAACGGCTCTTATCCGCGTTGAGACACATTACGTGTCTGGCCTACCTGATTTTTGGCACTTTTGCTTGTGCTCAGCACATAGCTTCTTCTCTTCAGCAGAGCTTTCAGGTTTTTGTGACCGATTTAAGGACGTGGGAGCATGGGTAATTGATCGTCCGAACGATCCATAATCACTGCGACAGCAGCTATCGAATGCTAATCGAGGCGGCTTTTCTCAGCTGAGGTCAAAAGCTCAGCGGGTGACAATTAACGCTGAGCATCGAGAGCCTTTCGGCCACTGCGAGCAGGCCGGCAACGCTGGCGGTCAACTTCCGCATGAGCTTATGACACTCATTAGTCCATTATCATATATGAAAATGTTATGTGAGAGAGCCTATATACATTCTCTCAGAGCTCATGTAAGTAAATATTTTTCTTTCATTATTCGTCTTTCACTTTTATTGTTTGACACTAATCGAACTACCTGTTTCAAGCTCACCAATAAAACAAGATGTTGTTTATCAACACCGCAGTTGAATGAAAGTCGATATTGAGGATATTTGTTTTCACTTTAAATTCTCTTGTCGTCGCTTAATTCATACGATAAAATAAACACCTATCTTTACTCCGCACACCTACACCACTCGTTTCAGGGAACAACGATTGCCTGTGAAGTCAAAGAAAGAAAGGTTATTTAAATTTTATGCCCACTTTGGTTAAACATAGAAAAATTCCACTGCTTAGGCAACAAATCAAAAAACTGAATAAGCAGGAATTCAGTGACAGTTGTTCAGATCACCTAACAAATAGATTTCTAAGTGACGTGCGGTTGTCATTTTAAACGGATACCAGCTCTTATTTGTGCCGTGTATTCCACAGGAGTTCAAGGAAGCTTTCATAGATTTCACAGATCAGCAACTCTTGCTGCATATTCTTCTACTGCAGCTGTACAAGCTCTAGTAATATCGCCTTAAGTCTAAGGACATAGTGTTTTTACAGACTTTTTGCCAAAAGCAATGATCAAAGAGATTCATATTTTATAGATGCGCTTCCAACAAGGACTAGGTTGCATGTATAAAAAATGTACACCAACACTAAAAGATTCGCTAGCTGCACTCATACGCATACCTTTATGAACATTCCACTGACTGGAGACGCGTTCATGGCGTCGTTGTTCAGTTTGCGCTGCTTTGATTTCTTCGCCTCGTTCGCCGACGGTGGTCTTTTTCGAGAATTCACAACAACATTAGTGACTATGTCCTAAATTTTTCATAGATTACTTAATATTTAACAAACAGGACAGATTCCTTGCTCTAATGAGCTTGATTGAGACAAATCATCCTGATCTAGTTTTCTAAAAAATGTAGCCGGAGTGGAAACAGATTTCATCTATATTTTACTGTTTGAAAAGCTCTCCAACAAATTCAAAAATTTCAAGAAGTATACATCTCGTTGCCGTTTTAAGCGGGATCAAAACATATACAGTTAGAAAATTACTGCGACTGCAACTTTTGTAGTTCAATCATCGGGAGATTTTTTAAACATTTAAACGAACCTTTAAAGTAACAAAAAAGTTTTAGATTCTTTGATGGCATAGTGCTTAGTCCATAGGCTTTCATTCTGGGTTTTTTAGAAGAGCGGTTCAAATCCACCTAAGCAAATCCGTTCGCATAACTTGGTGAAGCAAACCTTAAATCTTTGGTGTTCCTTTTGCTGTTCTTGCTCAATTTGCATCATCGCCAAGAAATTTTGAAGGAATTGTGGCTGCCACATCATTTGCAACTGGAGCAATTGCAGTGCACCATAATCTATCGCTGGCTTTAGTGCCTCAGGTTTTAGCAACGTTGTAGCTTCTGATGCCTTCGAATAGTCTTCAGAAGTGGCACTCGAACATGATGGCACTGGAGATGGCGTGGCCGTTGATATTAGTCGATGTACCCAGAAATCAGAGATGGACATCTGAAACGTCGAATACTGGCCATTTCATTTAACATAGTAATAAACGAAGAAAAAACGTTTGAAGATGCTATGGAAAATCTTTTATACCGGAAACATTTGAATAGTAGTTTTACACCATGAATGTTAGAAAGCCGAAGTGAAGACGTTTAAGCACTATCGATGTGAGTATACATAAGTCCGAAGAAGACTAGATAAAAGGATTCAAGTTAGTATCACTTAGGTGTACGGTAGCTGGTTACAGTGCTTGACCGGTCGTGACCGACTGAGCTCGCGGCAGAAGCATCTGTTCTGTTGGCACCGCCCCATTACAGAGCGACCAATCAGCGGCTTGAGCGCTTTGTTTCTCTGTGCGCTCTCATCACGAATTTTCGACGCTACGAAAGCGCTAACTTTGCGTTTGCTTGTTAGAAATTATTTTTTGGGCTCAATTGGTCAATAATTAGCAGATCAATTCATAAATCGCAAAAAAGCTGTCCTTTTGTAGAAGTTTTTTTAATGGCACATCATGCATAATGCAGATTACGCTGAGACTAAAGTGTAGGAAAACACTTTAGGCATAGATCAGTTCTACAACTTTCAGTGACAATAACCACAATTCTTACCTCTCTGATTACTTTCGGGGTCATTAATTTAAGCGCTAACAAGTGTTTCTAGACAGGTGTCTGCTAAAACGAGTGGGAGGAGGAAATGACACTTCGCATATCTCCAGTGATTTTTTGTGAAGAATCTTCCATACGATGGCCATATTTCGACAGCGATTAAATCGTCGCTGCCAAGCCATCAATCCGAAGGCCGAAAAGCGTTGCCGAAATACGACGGAATACGCGCATATCCATGGTGATCCCACCACAGCCTGTCACTACTGAAAATACAACGCGTTCCCATGCAGGAGGATTTCATTGTTGTCTTCAGCTATACGATAACGTCATTGAAATGATCGGATTGGGCTTGTTCTTCGGCACAAGTAGAACTTTTTAAATTTTGTATGTCCTTAATTACTCATGAAATTCGCCGAAATCTCGCAAAGGTGTTAACCTCAGACTTCATGAACAGTTCCTTTATGATAATTCAATGTTTTTCATCAATAAGCAGACACGAGGTTGTTAATATAGAATTTATTAGAACACAATTGCTGACGTTTCGGCGGTTTCGCCTTCTTCAGAGCCTGGAAAGGTCAAATTGAGATGTGATCTACTCAGCCGAACACTTTCACAACCCCAGCAGATAAAACTTGACAATTCGATTTGCATTCGCATACAATTTGACCTTTCCAGGCTCTGAAGAAGGCGAAACCGCCGAAACGTCAGCAATTGTGTTCTAATAAATTCTATATTAACAACCTCGTGTCTGCTTATTGATGAAAAACATTGAATTATCAATTAATGCCGAGGTTAACAGAAAGTCGGTCATGGAGTTCCTTTATGTTCCAGAAATATTAAGGAACATTGAATATTTGTATAATTCTGTTAGGACATCTTAGGTAGACCTTGATAAACTCAGCTATAGAAGTGAAATCCAGACGATGCAAAAAAGTAGATTTTTATTTACATTCGCTATTTATAGCTAATAACTGCACTCGTATAGGATGGCAGTTTCGGATTGGCTGTTTTTAATAGAGGAATTCATAAAATGAAATAAAGAATAAAATATTTCACTGATTTGAGTGCAGGTCAAATTTCTAAGTTATTTCTTAAACAATTAAAAGGGCATGAGCAGAAGCCCCTAAGCAGATCTGCTTCATCTTCGAAGTCTGGCTTGAACTGCCAGTAGCATTGTTGTACGTCCGATAGCAAAAATTAACGTTCGACAGCTTAGTTTTTCACGGAACGCTCGCATGACGAAAGTTTCCGCGCTTCGGTGAATTCTTGACGGATCGGTCTCGAATTGATGGCGCTCACCACCCAGACAACATACGTGGCATTTCCCATCCTTAGCTAATTAAGTGCACCCACTCGGGGACTACCCGAACATTCGAGGCATCGGACAGTGTCGAATTGAGTGAGTGGCAAGGGTGCTTGGAACATTAATTGCCAGTAAATACAATACCGTAGAAGTGGCAACAATTACTTCGCGATCAATTGCAGATGTTCCCGTGACAGAGCGGATGGGTGACTTCGTCCAGTAACATCGAGTTAGGGCTAGAAAATGTCATTGCAGGCAAAATCTCACCTAATATTTCAAAATTTACAATGCGAGCACTTAACCGCTCCAAGATTTATCAACGTTTAGGTAAAGATTGCGATGATTAAATACTCGAATACTGGATATTCAACTTTATCTGATACTACGAGACAATCTAATAAAAATCCTTTCCGCACGTGATTTGAATACTTTTTGGAAAGCGACTAGAACCAATTATATTGACCAAAATCTTTCACCATGTTCTAGAATTTATTCATGAGTTCTGAGTTCCAAAGTACCATGAATGTGTAACTCCATCAGAATAATAAACAGAGATAGAGATAGAGAGAGGGAGAGAGAGAGAGAGAGAGAACAGGAGAACACAAGGTTCAGCTACAACTACACCCCACCTCGGATAGACGGTTGATGACCTCGTAGTTCAGATATTGTATTTAAAGAAAATAAGGAATAAAATGGGTAGATTCTTTACTACATTTGTTAATCCGAAGTCTTACTACCACAGTTTATTCACTGAAATTATCCACTGAAAAAAGTATTGACCTTTCACCTGCAAGGAAATGTATTTTCTCGATGAAGGTCATTTCCACGGTTTCGACCTAAAACTGGCGAAGTGCCATGTGACACGCACCGTGAACAACACTTTGGGTTCCAATCGCTGAAGACAAAATCAAAATTGGGAAAGCTTCCTGGTCGGTAAGAACACAGTTGTGGTAGTCAGCAGGTTAGTTCGTTCGCATTGGATGGTATTTACAATAAGTGATTCATCGATCAATAGAAGCGTAAAGGAGGACAATGAAAACTTGACACCGAAAGCTCTACTTTCGACTCAAGACCATAATAGATCTTAAAAGATCATGTTTATTGACCGCTCAAGCGTTTCGGCATTTGACTTAATCATTTTCTCACAAATCCAGTTTAAATGCAGATGTTTTCTTCACAGCGTCTCAAGGTGTCATGAGTGCATTTCCACCACTCTGTGCAAGAAACCTAGCTACTCAAATACAAATTCACCAAGTCTGTTGTTCTCGAGTTAGCACATCATTGACCTACCAATTGTATGAGGAATTTCTAGATAGCACAAAAAGCTAACTCCGCCTTACGTATTTTGTCACCAAAAGTTCAAAGTTATTCAACAATACTTGTATGACACTTTGCTCGTTATTTCTACTACGGTGGTTAAAACAGGGTTATGCCGCAATGGTGGCATCATAGTTTCCCCGCTTCCTTAACGACAATTTTCCTACATCAAGTGCTTGCAAAGTCAAAGGCTTACCTACTTACTACTGTTTTTAGACAGGAATGAGGAAAGTGATAGGCGGCTGCGAACAGTTAAAAGAGGCGGCGAATCCACTGCTGTGCTTATTTTCTATTTGGAGTAGCTTATACAGCTCCTTATCTCCTATGTCAGCAATAACATGTCTGTCAGAAGTTCTAATTTGTAGAAACTTAAGCTCGACACTGGCAAGCTAACTATTAAAGTTGGAGTAAGTCATGGGTGTTCTTCTGAAGCACTGGTGAACGGCGTTCTCGATTATGCACATGTGCTGGCATGACCTCAGCTGACCCCGTGTATGACCACCTGTCTGGCCATCTGCCATCTTCGGCCCATCCACCACCACGCCCTGTGCACCAACAGAATGCGTGAATCCGCTGGGCGTCTAATCGCCATGGCCAGCTGTTCGCCTACGGCCAGAAAACGAGACGACGGGAATGTCATGCTAATTGTTTGAGCGGTTATAATGTCCACCTCCAAATGTCCTCACCTCCCACTACACCTCTCTCTTAACTTTTCGTAGAACAATCAGCAGTGATTTCTTTTATCCAGTGTCAATATGAGAAGAAAGCATTATATATGTAACACATGTTCACCAGTGTCTTGAGTTGTACTTTCCGTCCCGGGAGGCACCACGTAAGCCGGAATATATAGGCTAAGACAAACTATTCATTAACGTTTGAAAACTGCTTAGATGCAAAGATTTATACGTTATTTAAGTTACCCAATTGTGCATGTATAAAAAATTTTGGAGAGGGTGTTGCGCAGTTGCTAGAGGCACCCTGCAACACATGGGTTCGAGCCCGCTCTACAGGCTCACCAACCCTTCCAACCTTTCGGGATCGCCAAATTGGTACCAAACCTGTCTGAGATGATAACAGCACTGATTCAAAGCATCGATAAGTTGCTGCATGTTAACGTATAGGCCAGATATTCACTAAATCATCTTTAACGATGATTCATAAAGTCGAATGCATGGTTCATCCTTTAGAAATTGATTAACACCAAGAGCTTCATTCTTTAACTTCGTAATAAATTGCTGGCAACTTCATTGAGGACAAAATGAAGGGCGTGGTATAATAGGATGTTTCCATCCACAGTGCAATAAAATGCGAGTGAAAATTGTGCATGAAAGTCAGTTGAGATGGAATCAAACATCCGTTCGGCTATTAGTGCAAGATAACATAGGGTGGTCCAGTAATGAAATGCGGTAAGATTCGACAAAGGGGTAAAGGAATGCATGCATTACACAGATTCTCTTTTCAAGTGAGCTGGATGATACGCGTTTTAAATTTCTGTAATTTCTAGGCATACCCGATAAGCTACCTGTTATCGTAAGAATACAAAAGATCGCTGTTCCCCTCACGGAATAACTTCGGAGAGGACCGAGCTAGAGGACCAAACTATCTCTGTCGATTGGACAAATATCCTCGGTTGGCATAAATATTGTTATCTTCTGGTATTAATGCGGTCTACAATAGTACGAGCTAATAGGTATTAGGGTCGTTGAGTCTTTAAATTGAGCAAATCGTCGAATTCTCTTAACATTTGCACCAACCGTATGTCGTTCTCGTTACTTATTCATTGTTTTCGGTGGTCGGTTGGTCACGTTTCTGCCTTATATGATTGGCAACAACGGCAGGTAGCCAGCAGTTCCCCAAAGATATGACGACAATTTGAATTTACAATCCAAACGCCTATTGCGTATGCCAAAAAAACATTTCGGAAGGTGTTTACTGGCAAAAGTTCTTCGAATACCAGTAGAGTCAGTGAATTGAACAATAAATGAATCTGTAGCTCTACAGTAAGTGAACGTAGATATAACACGATGGATCTTCGTTGATGCGCTCGTTGAATAAACGATATAGACAAGCGGTATGTTTCAGAAAACACGTGGTGAAACACAACTGATGTCAAAATATTTAATTCTGTCGCTGAAAAAGTGCGCGTGTAGCGCAGTGGTTGGAGGCGTCCTGAAACACACACGTGGGATCAATCCCCGCGCCCATGGCCGACCAAGCCTTCCATCCATCCGGGGGTCGACAAATTGATACCAGACTTGTCTGGGAGGTTAGCAGCATTGGCTCGATACATCGGTAGGCCACCGCGAGTCATTGTAAAAGCCATCACCTGTATCACCTGTAGTCCCGTTGATCGTCGAGTGACTCGAGCGGGCGCCAGTATCAGTTATCATATATCACTTACATATGCATTCAATCACCTCTAAACGATGCTTAGTGAAGTAGAATACATGGTACATCTCTCAGGGATTGATCAACGCCGAGAGCTTTATCCTTTTCTACTAAACAATGTCAATCTGCAAAATGTAAAGTAGACGCAATACTATAGAAAAGTGAAGCTATATTGTAGTAACAAACACGCGTTCTTTGATCACCTGCATTGCCATATATCAGTTACATTACCAATAATCTTCCCATTCATTGAGTAACTCGGACAGCACCAGTCATTGCGCGTTAGAGCTGCTTGTAGTGCTCCTCCTGATCAATTAAAGAACAAGAAAAGCATGAAGCTTTCGAGCCAATGTTTCCTGTAACTGCTTTGACGAGAGGTTACTCCGCATAGCTCTCCAGACCGTTAACGGAGGCTTTTAACTGCGCTTTCAGAAGGGGAAACCGAACTATTTTTCGGCTTAGATGATTTCATTAGAGGAATCCGCTTATCTCATTTTGATTCCAAAGAAGATCTCTGTAGAAATAAAGCGGTAAACCAGTTGGGGTTTTGAATTTTGAACAAAAGGATCTGTGCTTGAGATTTTATGAAACATTAGTGCGATTATTTGTGCAGCAGTTGAATGTATCTGTCCAATATTTTTTGGGCTTTCTTCTTTTTCACCAGATTTCTTGGCGATCAGGAAGAAGTGAAAGAACGTGATTATCAAAACCTGTGCTAACAGCAGTTTGATCATGGAAGTCTGACGGCACAGCCTCGTGATGGTTCTCACTGTCGGAAAAGCTTTCTGAGAAGAATTCAAATAAACGGAAAAGACATTTGCATATTCCGTTAACCTGAAGCTGAGAACGGAAACTAGGAGATGAGAAGCTGCATATTTTGAAGGTGGCCGTCATTTGGGGTCAGTGGTCGATTATGGTACTGTAACTGTCACGGGAGCTATCAAAGATTGTCGATATAAATCTCCCAATTAATCGACTGAATAAACGACGTTTTAAAAACGTCCATCTAGGAAATCGTTGATTAGAAATTCATTCACTCGTTCGTTCACCATTTTTGTTTTTATTTTGTTCGCTTCTTCTTGTGAACTGAGCGCATTTTTTTTTATTTGACCAGAATTCGCTTAGTCTATATATATAGCCTCTTAATGCTAGTGTTAACCACTTGTAATTTTATAAGAGCTGCTCTACTATGATTTGCCTTCCATCTATCGCTTCTGTTGACTACCACAGTTATTTATCCCTGAAAACAAAGTTAAAGCTTGCTTATCGATTAGGGCTTTTTTATGAAAATAAAGATTACAAAAACCGTGATGGAAAGAGATTTTTGAAAAAACTTAATAGATGCAAGAAGCGAAAAGTATAAAAATATGTTGGCTTCAAATCAAACATTACTGCAGTGATGGCTACGTTTTGAGATAATTCGCATGTGAGCTATCATTTATGATAGTTATTCCGGTTATGTCTTAAACTGTAGAGTTGCACAGAAGCTGTTGGATCGACCTCGTACCGTGAGCTCTTGTAAGTCCAGAGTTATCATATTAGTGCCAAACTTTTCTGTTACGATAAAAACATTGATTTGATACGTCAGAAGGTCTTGCAAAATCAACGTAAAGATCAAATATGCATTCAGTTACTTCCATCATGCTACGAATGGAACTGAATGCATAGCGCATGCACCACGTATCAGTCAACGTCGAACGCTTTATCTTTTACTCATTCATGACTAGCGAAGAAAGATCTGAATTTAACCAAGCAGAAAACGTTTTCATTTTTTGATGCATCAAACGATAATAATGTTTTCGCTCTTTAGTACATGTATCGTGAGCGATTAATTTCTCAGCTACACATTCAGAACGACTCAAGCTGCCAACATAGTGAATGTCTCTCGTCCCTGGTGATCGGTATCCGTACTGCCTTGGATTGCGTGAGCATCAATAATGCTTCGAATGTCGTTCGTGATTCTGTTCGTCTTCTTAATCAGTCGACAATCCAAGGCCGGCATGAAATACGAGACCGATCGCGACATATTGTCGCACGTTTCCGATTTACGAGACCATCTGGTGTCACCGCAGACGTCGTCACGTACGCCAACGAATAACGTGCCTACATCTTCACAAACTTTCTCAATCGGTTCATTCATTTTTTCATCCTTCTTCTTCGTAGAAAAAACAAATAAAGGGTTCTATGGAGATGCTGGTAATGTAGACATGGACAGAAACGCTATCTAATCCTAGGTAAGGTAAAAGGAAAAAAAATCATGCTTTGGTGCTTTTGCTTATTTTTCTTTAACGCTCTCATCTACATGTCTTGTAGTTTTCTGCTCAACGCTAGTAATTGCAATTGCAACAAGGTGTTGAAATAAATTATATGTTTGTTTATATGTTATGTTATACATGAATTATAAATTGCTTGTCTATTTTATTAATGAGAATTACCGTAATCTTAGAATTTGGAAAAGACATGAGGAATTTTGACAAATTCGAATGCAGCTGCCTAACAAACAGACCATGATGTTCATTAGCGAAATACCTTCCTTCTTTCTGGAGACATTCTTGGAAAGAGCAGCATTTTCTCACAGTGATACAAAAAACTTTGGTATACCGCATGTTACCACAAACCTCGCTTACAAACAACAATTATGAAGAAACAGAGCCTAGAAATGATTATCTACAAGGATTCTAAAAGGGTTCACTTAAAACTCTTGCGGTTACCTCATCAACAGACGCCATAAAGATTTCGTTTAAAGGTGGGTGTATAAAACTGTCTCTAACAACTTTTAGCAGTCATTTGTGAAAATTTAGAGGCCACTGAATCAAGCAATGACGCTCTTCCTGCAGTACCATTTCCTCTTCGGCCTCTCTAGCGATTTGCGTCCCCTTGTCTCCTCAGTTCGAAATTTTACTTCAACAGCGGCTATTACTATGTTCCTATCGCTGGGAGTGTAGGAGACATCAAAATTGGTGTGTAAAATTAGCCAAAGTGCTACGTTTTTTTGAAAAATACCAAAACAGTACAGTATAAAGATTTGATTTCTAGTCAACATCCTTGTTGATTAAGCCTTCGTCCATAATTTTCAGCTGAATTTTACAATCTAAGTAGCCATGTTGAACGATATGGATACCTCGTAATAAATGAGAAGGAGGAGATGAGAAAAGGGGAAGACTGAGCAAGGATATCTTTAATGCACAGCGGTGAATCAGAACCTTCGAGTTCTTCATTGTTCTTGACTTACCAGGAGATATTCGATGTCGCCGGCTTTCTGACCTCGTTGATTGTTTACCGGCTTAGTTGATGTCGTCCTCGATCACTTGTTGCAGCTCATAATTCACCACGCTAATCCGCAATCCTCTTTGTCACGCCGTTCTTCTGACTTAATAAGGCAGCTGCCTCACTTACAGTATGAGGGAACGGTTCCGCTCTCGACATCCTTAACTATTTAAAAAGCCGACAATGGTTATTTACTCTCACTTTGTGAAATTTGGACAAAAGAAGCTGTTCCTAAATAGCAGATAGGCGCTTTTTGTATCTCGAGGAGGAACAAGCCATCTGAATAATTCTAGAACAGCCTGGATAATGTCTAGCAAAGTCAAAATATTTAGGCAAGTTCAGTGCTGTTAGCATTTAAGAATCGTCATAGAAATATGGTGAATTAAAAGTGGCACATCCTTTCTGATTCAAATCTTAAAGCGTAAACTTATGTTTTAACTTAACGAACAACAGTTAATTTTCAAAGGTTATTACTAGCAACAAGATATTTGCGCAGACAGAATAATTTCGAAAAGTAGAAAGGTGTTACCAACACCGGCCACTGGGGTTTTCTCAACCAATGACTTGCATTGAACAAAACTAATTTTCTTTTTGTTAAGAGCTATGAAGGAATTTTCAAACTTTTGAGTCTTAAACCGCTTGCCCATTTTTAATTCACTCGTCACGATATAAACCCTACTATGAGCCATATGCAATGTTCATGGCTAGATTCATCCTGTAGTAGGGCTGCCTATACTGAAAATGATCTCGGCATGCCTATCTGAAGCTCAGCTAAGAACTTTTGCCAACAGCTTAACAACAAAATGTAGCAAACCCGATCGTAACACGGAGTATTCACTTCCTATTTAGAAGGGCAGGAAACTGTGTAATGAGCAGCGGAAAACGCTCTGTGACAACCTTGAAAGCAGAATTCTTTGGTCTTTTAGTCTACAAAGTCAACCTGAAAGTTAGTCGACGACGGTGAGGAAAAAATGCTAAATTAACGAATAACGATAAATGTTCCAAGTATCCAAATAAACAGCTATAAAACTGTTAAAAGAAGATTTTTATCTTTACGAATTGTCTTTCACATCAACTATGGATCCCAGCACTTCACGCACTCAATTCGTTTCCACACATCCATCATGCAAGAAGGTCTTCCAACTTTTTACTTATGGCTTGAGCTGGTTGATAATTTTTCTTTCATCACGAATTTTATGAATGCTGGTCAAGGCAATTCTCTCTGGAGTCTTGCGATAATCACATTGGAGAGTTTCCAGTTGGAATGTAGAGAGTGATTTCTTTCTGGACAAGTCCAGCACCAATATCCCAGCCTTGGATTGATGAGAGGCTCGGTGAGTCTATGGCGGAATCGAACCAGCGCAGTGCCCATGATGATCGGCATCACTACTATTATGGTAGCCGCTCCTGAAGTTTCCTTAAAACCGGATTGTAAACGTCTAATGGTAAATTGAAGTAGCTCATTTGTTCTAATAAAATATCTTCCCAATTAGCCATAAACCCGCTTAAACACATATATCATTAAATCCTCAATATAATTAAATATCTCAATGGCTCGTGTGGCGCAGTGGTTGGAGGCGCCACTGCGACACACAAGTGGAACCGATCCCCAGCCCATGGCCAACCAAGCCTTCCATCCCTCCGGGGTCGGCAAATTGGTACCACGCTTATCTGGGAGGATAGCAGCACTGGCTCGATACATCAGTAGGCCACCGCGAGTCATTGTAAAGGCCAGATATGCATTCAATCACCTCCAACGATACTTAATGAAGTCGATTGCATGTCCCTTATGGATTGATTAACGCCGAGAGCTTTATCTTTTTATCCTTTTATCATTAAATTTCTGCTGGATGTATAATACCTGCAATTACTTCATTAAATACGCATTGAGAGATATTCTCTCATTTCTTTGTTGTGATTTTCAAGTGGCGACCGACGCCACTCCGTCAAACATTGGCTCATCACAGACCGATTCTTGTATTTGAATTGCTTTTGTGGACGAGCGGTGTTCGCTTTTCGCGTCCGCAGTCTTCAGTGGTTTTTTCCGTGTGACGAGCTTTGTTATTTCTCGTGGTCAGGATGGAAATTCGCCACGCGAATAATTGGTCTGACCAGCAGATGTTTTGGCATGTAATCGCCACATAGAAATGCAGCTGGATAAATGAGGATGAGAGGCGTGCAATGATGAACAACACCCGGCACCAGCGCTGTCTGGGCAAAGGACGAAGGGACCACTAAGATGCTGCCTATGGGAGCGAAGAAATGATCGATAACATTTTACTTTGTTGCAAACAGCCTTTTTTTGAAAAGCCTGCCTTTATTAGATCAAAGTTTCTTATAGAATTTGAATTAGACGTCTTTTCTACTGAATCATAAAGCTAAGATATTTTTATGTGCTCAAAACAGTGAAAGCAAGCTGCGCTTTTGGCGAGTTTCTTCCACGTTTTTTAGGTAACACGCTTTTTTCCTTCTTGAGCAACTTGCAGATCAGGAATGTGGAAACAAATCGAACTGTTTGACATCGTTAGACTACTATATTTGGAATTCTTCGGCTTAAACTTTATCGACGAGCCAAGAGTTCCTAAAAATTACTGCTTTCTATTTTTTCATCTGCGCGCGGTCTCGTTTCTACCATGCAGTGACTAAAGTTCGTTTGCAGCATGTAGTTATGCAAGATCTTTCCACGGTGAGATAGTTTTTAACTTACAATATAAAGACGACAGAGCAGTCAGCGAATTTTGTCATTAGTAGGGTTAAATCCGCAGCGACGGTGTCTCCCATTTTAAAACATGAATGAATGATTTAAGAGAAACCAGAAAAACCGCTGCTCCATTCCTTGGTGTGAAAATGGGATTTGGGAAATTAAAGCACGACAACAATCCTGTATAGATGTAGAAAGCCAACACGTAATTTGCAGGATATTTCTATTAATACCTAAGACTTGACCAGTTCACACTGGCTGTTAGGCTGCCTTAATCCGTAGACGAATAGTCTCCAGAATATTAGGTGCCAACTATGCTTTTTTGATGCTCTATGAACCGAGGAGGATTTGCCTCCCTATGGTAATCACTATATCTCTTTCTGCACTTTATGAGCCAGGTATGACCTGTCCTTCCAGGTTAATAAGTAGAAGTCAGCTTTGGTAAGACAAGGTACTACGGAAGAAAATTCGTTTGATCCTTTTAAAGGTATGGTTATGTTTGAAAATTTAGTTTTTCTATAGGTTTAATGAAACAGAATAAATAGATTTACTCAAATTCAACTACGGCCAAAAATAATTTGGACGTAAAGAGTAATTGACTCTATAATCAATTAAACAATATGAATTTCATCCTTAACGGCATACTCTCAAGACGATTACGACTTCCGGTTTCTCTTCATTATGGTTGTGAAGGACAAAAAAACCTTCACGGTCTCAAAAGAACTAACAAAAAAATGATTTTTAACAGCTCAGAAATTCTTAAGATAATGAGTTCAGTTTTCTATATGTTTTGCCTAGGTATAATATTTAAGCACCTAACTGATAATGAGCGTCTACGGTTACGAAACTAAAGTGAACAGAAGTTAGCTCTTGAACTCCAATAGTCGTCAGTAAAATGGTAGTTAAGTGGTGCACTTCTGGATCTCATCAGATTGTCTCACCTTTGGTGACCTTCAGCACCTGCCGCTGACGCAATATGACCATCAACACTTCTTATATCCGATTTACCTACGCCCTATCGCGCCAATGGCAACATGTCACCTTTATTCAAGCAGTTCCTGCAAAATGAGGCCAGGCGAGTTACCCTGCTGCGTGGGAGGGACTGGGCTTTTTAGTGAAAATCAATCTATTTTTGAGCAATCGATACTCAGAAGAATGGGTATTCGAATTTG